AATAGTATAGCTATAGTGTGACTAAAGTCGGTTAGTTCGACTGAGCCGAAATTTTCTTACTCTCCACCAAGTAAGAAAATCGTCAAACCTCTAGATCCCTGAAGTTCCCTTATATAAGGGCTAATCTTTAATTGAATATAATTTCAGAGGAATTAATCTTTCCACAAAGAAACCCTCAAATTTTATTTGAATTTCAAACTTAAAAATATAATTAAAAAGTATTTTTATATACGATGCGACATTTTCCAATCACTTCGAATATGTTTTACAGAAACATTGAAAATTTCATAGAATAAGTTCGACCCGAACCCATAATAATTTCTCAAATTGCAGCTGAATTTTTCTTATTCTTTTAACATCACAACTCTAGCTCATTGGTGGAGGTAGTCCTTTCTAGGGAAGCTATTATAAATGTGTGTACATACATTATATAATATAGTCTAACAACTTCAATATTTTCTGAAGTTATTCCCAGAGAATGGAACTATAACCACCCATGAGGCATTTGGTATAATACACCGTGTGTTTCTGAACGTAAATGCGCCCTCCCCACTTCCCCCCTCTATATTGATCCCAGGCGGCTGTGTATTTTTGTTTTCAGTTCAGTTCAATTTATTGTTGTTGGCTTTAAAGAAATCACAAAATCTGGATAAGTTTGACAAAAAAAAACAAACATAGCGCTGAATTTCATATCACCTGCAACACCAAAAAGAACAAAAAAATCACAAAATCCCCCAAAAAAAAACCAACAAAATGTTGTTCCATGCGGCTGATAAAAATAAATATTTTTTTTATGTTTCCAATATTTATATTTTATTAGTGACCATCTCACAAGTGCTAATTAGAATTTTATGATTTATTTTCGGTTGTTTTTTCTAAAAAAAAAAACAAAAATTAAGAGATTTATTGAACAAATACAGCTTTAAAAAAATACATTATTTTTTCGATTTTTACGTTTACAAAACCAAAAAAACACTTTTTCACTCGGCATTTTAATTTGCTTGCTTTGCATTCGTTGACATTTGTTTGTATGTGTGCTTTGCTTTTGATTTCATTAAATTGATGCTTTGCTTTTTAGAAAACTCCCCCCACCCACACACACACACATAAAATAGTATTAATCTGAATTGAATTTTAATAGTTGGCCCAGTAAAAAAGCTTTTTATGTTGAACTGCTATCTATCTCTGCTTAAAAATAAATTTAACATTTTATAGTAATTTTAACACTTTAGTTTTTGAGAGTATATAAAATAATAAAAAAAGCTTAAAAATAATTAATATTAAATATGCAAAATTAATTGTGCTTATATAGCTTTGAATTTAAAAATATGACGTCACGAGAGCTAAAGGTATGTTTATACCCTACAACACTATGTGTTGGGAGTATTTATATTTATTTTTTATTTATTTACTTGGTTGGTCCAAAAATTATATAACACCTCGAAATACTGGTTTCCCAAATAGGAAAGTATATAGTATATATTCCAAATAGAAAGTATATATGAATCTCGCCGAGCAGAGTCGATCTAGTTATGTACGTTCGTCCGTCCGTCTGTCCATGTTATTTTGTAATTACTCTACAGATCGCAATTATGGCTCAATCCTCACGAAATGTTTCATTTAGGTGGGATTATGTCAGAATAGAAGCCTATTATTTTTGGAGATGACCGCATAATATGTAGGGGTTGAAATGGACCAAGAACCCAGATTTTGCAGTTTCCCTACAGATCGCACTTATAGACCAATCGACACGAAAGTTTGCCAATTTTCCAATTTTCCATTAAACCGCGAATATTTTTAATCCCGGCGAAATCACAAATAGACGAAAATGTCAACTCTGACCGTTACGTAGATGCGGATAGTAAATATATCGGATATATGTAGCGAAATGTATGCAATGTGTATAAACAAAGGAAAGGGACGTTAGCTAGGATGCTTATATCTCAAGAATGGCAGGACCGATTTTGACAAATTTTGTCAAGTCAGAATTCCCTCTTGGCATTTTCCTGATCACACAATTGAAACCAATCGACACGGAATTTTGCATGAGAAGGCCAGTGTTAAGGACAGGGAGGAAGTCAAGCATTTTGGATGACCATTGGATTATATTTAGCGGTAACTAACAGCACTTCGGAGTGCGTAAATATTGGGCAAATGTCCTTTGTCAAAAAACTAAGGGTAATATCTGGGCAGTGCTCTATGACATAATTTCAAAAGTGGAATTTTCCAAAATGGTTGTGGATATAAGAGGACTTCTACCATATTGTGATGCTATAGGGCATCACAGCAAGAGGTACCAAAAAGAGTTGGCCAATATATTCCATTTCCATACTTGACCTATGATTCGAAAAACAATTGGAAAAAGCAAAAATTAAAATGCAATTCAAAGAAGTTAAAATTTGGAGCTTCCGGTCCGACATTGTGAACTGTAGCAGTTGATTTTAGCATGACAAAAATATTAATTTAGACTAACCAGAATACTCCCTTCGTCTTAAATTAAACAAGTAAAAAATCTGGTCCGGGCCCAATTTTGAATACCCTCCACCATTTGGAACAAATTTGGAAATTTTCAAAAAAAAAAAAAAAAAAAAAATCCGATAAAAATTCTATTAAAATATATTTTTATTATAGATATATTAGGGTCCATACGACTACGTGGACCTGCACAGGCAACTCTTGTCATAATCCACTACAATATTCAAATGCGAAATTTGAAAAAAAAACGGTGAATAATGTAGGTAAAATCATCAAATACCGAATATAGAGAGGATGATATGGGGGCTATACCAAAACATGCAACAATTTTCTGTTTTAGGCTGTATTATCCATTACGAACTTCAGATACCAAATTTGAAACAATTCCGGAGAATAATGTCGCTAAAATCATCAAATTGCGGAATATCGGGAGGTACCGTTTATGGGGGTTATACGAAGACATGGACCTGCACAGACAATTTTCTGTCCTAGGCCGTAATATCCATTTCGGACTTCAAATACCAAATTTGAAACAATTTCGGTGAATAATTAAAATCCTCCAAATGCCGAATATAGGGAGGTACCGTTATAGGAGGGGGCTATACGAAGGCTTGCTTGTCGCTAAAATCATCAAATTGCCGAATATCGGGAGGTACCGTTTATGGGGGTTATACGAAGACATGGACCTGCACAGATAATTTTCTGTCCTAGGCCGTAATATCCATTTCGGACTTCAAATACCAAATTTGAAACAATTTCGGTGAATAATTAAAATCCTCCAAATGCCGAATATAGGGAGGTACCGTTATAGGAGGGGGCTATACGAAGGCTTGGCCTGCACAGACAATTTTCTGTCATAAGCTGTAGTATCTATTACGAGCTTCAAATGCCAAATTTGAAACAATTCCGCTGAATAATGTCGCTAAAATCATCAAAATACCGAATATAGGGAGGTACCATTACATGGTGGCTAGACGAAGACATGCACCTGCATAGACAAGTTTCTGTCCTAGGTGGTAGTATCCATTATGAACTTCAAATACCAAATTTGAAACAATTCCGGTGAATAATGTCGCTAATATGATCAAAATACCGAAAATCGGGAGGTATCGTTATGTGGGGGCTATACTAAAACGTGGACCGACATGACCCATTTTCAATAACAACAATCCTGCGGACATAATATACATTTGAGTAAAATTTTATCAATCTTCTTCAATTCGTTCGGAAGCTAGAGTGATTTCCACAGACGGATAGACAGACGGACATCGCTAAATCGACATAGAATTTTGTGCTGATCACGAATATATATACTTTGTGTATTTCGAGGTGTTACAAACGGAATGACAAACTTAATCTACCCTCCACACTATGGTGGAGGGTATAAAAATAGTAACTTAAATGGGCGATACTATTGGTATAGGAACTACTCGGAAATGTGGAGCGGTGAACACATTTACGAACTTATTCTTCTTAGTGACCAAAATACACTCATCTGCGAAATTGTAGCATTTTTCACTCAGTCCGCTCGAACTAATAGGTGACAACACAAATTGAAAACGCGAAAACAACGTGGAATCTTCATTGATTGGATATACCTTGTAGGCTCTAAAAGAAGAGTTACATATGGACTGACTAACTTTGATAGGTGTGAAATATAACGGATTTCACTTTCATCAGAAAACCCAAGACCAGTCTAGCTGGAGTATTATGTCTACATTTACTTCAATCTTCTCCTTACTCTCATATAGTCTGCAGTTTTGAATTAACATTGAGAGTATTCCACCTACAGATCCTGCATCGGGTTGGAATTTAATTTGAGATATTTGGAAATTTAAGTCAGCACTGAACTTTTCGGTGCAGAAAACGTCAAGGATATCAGGAACATTTTTAACATCAACATTATTTAATGTTTAAGTATGATATTAGAATCTAGAAGGAGGGGCTTTTCTAAAACTATTTATTACCTTTTCCTTCAATTAAAAAACAAAACCTCTTCATGCGTTCTCTGACAAACTGTGAAGGATGTGGTTGTTAACTAGCCAAAATACCAAAGCTTGCTATCCCATTAGATAGTTTTATACATTATTTGTATTAATAAAATATACTTGAAATAAATAAGATACTAAGTAGTCAACAGCATATCATAAACATGCCTTTAGCTCTCCTTTTCTTTCATTTCAGACCATATTGCCAGAAAAATGTACAAGCTCTTTGTTATATCGCTTCAAAATCCACTGTTAATTGCTTTAATTGTTGTAATTTATTTGATTGATCTGAATTTGAATGCATGTTGTTTCAGTTACGATTATTATTAATTTATAGTTATAGCACAATATTGGAAAAGTTATTTGAAAAGTATTTATACCCTTACCCTTCTAAAGAAAAACAAAAAAACTCCCCCAATAATGTTGAAAGTAATTTTTGTGTTGAAACGAAAACGAAAATAATACACAAACTAATAAGGAATTGAACGCGAATTCAGTTAATTAAATTTCTGCTTTTCTTAAAAATTACAATTTCAGTTTTTCGTTCGCTTGGATCACATACGAAAGTGTTTCACACAAAAGGGTGGCATCTTCGTATTGGAGGAATATAGTAAGTATATGAAAATATGGAAATAAAATTGTATTCAAAAATGGTATATGAAAATGCGGTATTAACTGTGAAAGACCTTGATGAATAGTAGCCCTTGAAAATTAGTACTTATAAAAGTGTACGTTTAGAGTCATGAAAGTTCTTCAAAAATAGTGTATGGCTTTTTAAAGTCCAGGAAAATTAGAGTTCGAAAATTCACATTTATAGATTTGAAAGTTTTTACAAAATTAGTATTTTACAGCTACATGTATAGCTCTGAATGTCCTTGAAAACATAGTATTTTATAATTCACGTTCTTAGCTTTAAGATTCCATGAATAAATATAATTTAAAAATCCACATTTATAGCTCTGAAATAACTTCAGAAAATTGGTATTTAAGGTTCTTGAAAAATAAATAAATTGACAAGTACACTTTTATATCTCAGAAAGTTCTTAAACTTAAAATCCTTGAAAAATAGTACTTAAAAAATCCACGGTTAAAGCTGTGAAAGTCCTTGGAAAATAACAATTACAAAATCAGGTTTTTAGTTCTGAAAGTTCTTAAAAATGAATACTTAAAAAATCCACGTTTATGTCTTTAAAAGTTCTCGAAGAATAGTCCTTAAAAAATCCACGTTAATAGATCTGAAAGTCTTTGACAAGTGGTACTTAAAAAATCCACGTTAATAGATCTGAAAGTCTTTGACAAGTGGTACTTAAAAAATCCACGTTTATAGCTCTAAAAGTTCTCGAAGAATAGTCCTTAAAAAAATCCACGTTTATATCTCTAAAAGTTCTCGAAGAATAGTCCTTAAAAAATCCACGTTAATAGATCTGAAAGTCTTTGACAAGTGGTACTTAAAAAAATCCACGTTTATAGCTCTAAAAGCCCTTGAAGAATAGTACTTAAAAAATCCATGTTTATAGTTCTGAAAGACCCTAAAAAATCCACGTGTATAGCTCTGAAAGTCCTCGAAGAATAGTCCTTAAAACTCCACGTGTATAGCTCTGAAAGTCCTCGAAGAATAGTCCTTAAAACTCCACGTGTATAGCTCTGAAAGTCCCCGAAGAATAGTCCTTAAAAATCCACGTGTATAGCTCTGAACGTCCTCGAACAATAGTCCTTAAAAATCCACGTGTATAGCTCTGAAAGTCCTCGAAGAATAGTCCTTAAAAATCCACGTGTATAGCTCTATAAGTCCTCGAAGAATAGTCCTTAAAAAATCCACGTTTATAGATCTTAAAGTCTTTGACAAGTGGTACTTAAAAAAATCCACGTTTATAGCTCTGAAAGTCCTTGAAAAATAGTCCTTAAAAATCCACGTTTATGGCTAAGAAAGTCCTTGAAGAATAGAACTTAATCAACGTTTATAACTCTGAAAGTCCTCGAAAAATCCCCGTTTATAGCTCTGAAAATCCTTGAAAAATTGTACTCAAAAAATCCACGCTTGGAGCTCTGAAAGACCTCGAAAAAAAAGTTCTAAATAGTCCATGTTTTTACATTTGAAAATAAGTATTTAAAGTTCACGTTTATAGCGCTAATAGTCCTTAAAAACTAGTATTAAAAAATCCGTATTTATGGCTCTGATAGTCCTCGAAAAAAATATCTGAAAACCTTGAAAAGAAAAAGTTTTGAAAAGTCCACGTTTTCAGTTCTCAATGTTCTTGAAGGAATAGATCTGAAAATCCTTAAAAAAATTATGTAAGAGTCTACGTGTACAGTTCTAAAAGTCCTTGAAAAAATTATTTAAAATCAACGTTTATAGTTCTGAAAATCCGTAAAAAGCAGTATTTCAAAATCCAGGATAAGTTATTTAAACCTATAACAATATTTTATTATCCCTAAGTTATAGTTCTGGTCTATATTGATATTATTCAGGAAATTTTTGAATTCTGGAAAAAAATTTAAAAATCCTTTATAAGCCTTGACATTTTTCTCAAAAAAATGTTGAAAAAACAATCTCCTAAAATCCTTTCTAAAAAAGTCCTTAAAACAGCCCCAAGACTCTCTTCAAAAAAGCAGGAACCTTCAACACTATTTCCCAAATAATAAACTAAAACTGACAAATCCATTTTGTTTCTTTTCATTTCAGATCCTAAAACACGCCAGCTAATACAACGAAAATATAAATCGAACATGGTAAGTTCAATGTTTCAAAATGATAATTATTTAAATTATTTTTAGATATTTTCCAAAAAAAAAATTAAAGCAATCATTTTTAAGTTTGTGCACGTTTCTGAACATGTTCATCTTTTCTAACACATTTAATTTTTTTGTTAAAATAAAACAAAGTCGGTTGCAAACATTGTTACATAACTTAAAAAAAAAAAATATTTGATAAAACGTAATAACAATTTTCTAAACAACAAAATTATAAAAAAATATTTTAAATTCGATTTTTGTCAGCTTTTTAAAAATTACATACAAAAGTTCACGACAAGAGCAAAATTGTTAGAATTACAAAATTATACATTTATTTGATTATTTGAATATTTCCAGTGTCCTCACTCAAAATTGTCCCTAAACTCTGAGTCCAATGTTTTTTTTAAGAAGAAAAATGTAAATATAAATGTCAGAAAATATAATATTTCTAAATGAATTGGTAGAAACAAAAACTAAATATTAAATAAGTGAAATTAAAAAAAATCAAACAAAAAATTGCATCGGCCGGGAATCGAACCCGGGCCGCCCGCGTGGCAGGCGAGCATTCTACCACTGAACCACCGATGCCTGTGTGTTAGTGTGGTTGTACCAGCAGACATATATTTTTGTTTAAATTTAATAATGTATGAAACTACAAATTATTGATTTTATTTAAAAGATCGCTGTCTAGTTTTCAAAACCTTAAAGTTGAAATATTCTTATCGAGTGAAATTTGAATAAGTTGGAAGTTTGAAATAATTTAAAAATACACAAATTGTTTAAATATGTTTACGTACATAGTTTACAAATTATTTATAAATACTTTACTTATTTTATAAAGAATTTGTTAACTATACACGTAATTTGTATATTATACAAGTAAACCTATTTAAATAATTTATTGAATTTGAAAACTAAGCACTGATCTTTTAAATAATTCCAATATTGTTTATTTTCATACATTATTAAATGTAAACAAAAATACAAATGCTATTGAAGCCACACTAACACACAAGCATCGGTGGTTCAGTGGTAGAATGCTCGCCTGCCACGCGGGCGGCCCGGGTTCGATTCCCGGCCGATGCAATGTTTTTTCTTTGTTCTCAAAAAATATTTTATCTATTTAACATGGGGAGGTTTCCAAGTGATTTAAATGAAGTGTTGTGTGTGGTTCGTGACACACATTTTTAATCCCACTCAAGGCAAGATAAGAAAACTCTTGATTAAAAATTGATGGCAAGCAAATATGTCAATTGATTATCTGTTTCATTCGATCCTTCACTAATGTACAGGGTGAGATAAAAAACTGCAACAAAGTCAAACGCCATATTTTCACTTTTTTTAAATTTTGTTGAATGAAAGCCAAAAATTTCGGAAATATCATAAAATTTTAGAAAAGGTTTAGATTTGTCCGAATTGGTCACCTTTGTCACGAATTATGGACTTATGAAATTACGGCCAAGGAAATCGTCACACGCTGCCTGAATGTTGCTTTGCGATGCGCTTGCTTGAGGTGATCGACACTTTGGTATTTTTTTAGTGCCAACCTTGCTTTCCAAAATACTCCAGACACATTAATCCAACGGATTGGTTTCCGGAGATTTTGGTGGCCATTATGCGTTGGAAATGAAGCGAGAAATCTCATTTTGTAACTATTCTTGTGTGGCGTGTGCAGAGTGCAATGTTTGCGTGCCCAAGGCTCTAATATACCCTCCAGAATATTTTCGCGATAATATTCGGCATTTATTCTGATGCCAAGGTCGGTTAATACGAGCGGAGAGCGACCATCGGCTGTTATGGAGGCCCACACCATCACCATGGTTTGCGCTTGAGTTCTGGTGGTCAACCGAAGGTGCACATTTTCCACTAACCTCTTTGGCAAGCAAACACGATTGTTTTGTTTGTTTATCAAATGCTGGACAACGAATGTTTTCTGATCGGAGAAAACCAAATTCGGCAGTTCACCACTTTCGGCCAAGCGAAGCAACTCTTTAGCTCTTTTAGTTCTTGCACTTTTTGGAATTTCAATGGCTTTAACCCGAGCTCATTTTTCAATATTTGCCGAATGGAATATTGCCATTGTTCAGCTCACTAGCCATTTTTCGGTTTCGATCAAGTCGCTTCTTCACTTTTTGAACCATCTCTGCTGATGTTGCTGTCTTCTTCCGTCCACTTCCTTGACGTCGGACTACGCTACGAGTGTCGCGATAACGAGAGATGGTACGAGACACAAAAGATTTATTCACATTTAAATGCTGGAGTGCTCTAGTGATAGCCACTTGTGGTTTTCCAGCCACAAAGAAATCACACTATCACGCTTGAATTCCATCAGGAATAACTTTTTTCTGGAAAATTCTCAACAAAATGCTTTGTACGCTTGTAAAAAATATATTAAGCTGTCACTAGAATAATTTTAACAGCTGTCGGACGAGTGGCTTAGGAATGACAGTAGTCTGAAGTTGATTGTAGTTTTTTCATCTCACCCAGTATATCCTTAACCGATTTCGGGTCAATGGTGAACCAAATGGCCAATATCAGTTCAAATGACCTGAATTTTGGCATATCTGACCGAATTCAGGCTAGAAGCATGTACATTAAATTCGGAGAAAATCAGTTTAGATATAGCTATAGCTCCCATGTATATGTTTCCTTTGATTTGGTGTCCCTCACTTTCGTAATATTTATTCGACATCAATGATATTTGGTGCCAGTTATCAGATACAGCCCAGAAATACCTTTGCCAAAATTCGATTAGGATCGGTTCGGATTTGGATATATTTTTTTTATATATGTCCTCAACCGATTATAGGTTAATTGTGCACCAAATGCCCAATATCAGTTCAAATTACCTGAGTTTTGACATATCCGACCGAATTCAGACTAGAAGCAAGTACATAAAATTCGGATAAAATCGGTTCAGATATAGCTATAGCTTCCATAGATATTTTTCGTCGGACTTGTTGTTTAAGTCCCTCACATCCGTAATATACATTCGACAACTATGATATTTGGTACCAGGTATCTTATAAAGCTCGGAAATACCAAAATTTTATTAAGATCGGTACAGATCTGGATATATTTCTTATATATATCCTCAACCGATTTCAGGTTAAGTGTGCACCAAATGACCAATATCGGTTCAAATGACCTGAATTTTGGCATATCCGACCGAATTTAGACTAGAAGCAAGTACATTAAATTCCGAGAAAATCGGTTCAGATATAGCTATAGCTCCCATAGATATTTTTCGGCGAGATATCTTTTTTTATCGAGACCGGCAAAAATTTAGATATATCTCCCATATGTATCCTCAATCCGATTTCAGGTTTATTGTTGATCTACTTGGAAAAACTTATTTTGTTACCAGAACTCTACTAATAATGCATATTGGTGTATGGTATCATAGAGTCGGCCCCGCCAGACTTTTGACTTTTCCTTACTGGTTTCAAGTTTGGTTCTTTCCTCCGATCAAAGGCTGTCATCCCCAAAAGGCATGCCGAACCTTCCAAATATTCAATTTCATTTGGGGGACCAATCCACCTATCATTTATCAAGTTGAAACAAAACGTATTTTTAAAACCTTACAGATTTTTTAATAAGTGTTTTCAACCGACTTCTGTTATGTTCTGTATAAAAATTATATATCCAAACGATTTATTTTCTTTCTTAAATTCTTTAATATTGTTTTTGTTTCTTTTTATGTAAATGTCAATTATGTGTGTGTGTGTGTTTGTGTATGACTCACATACTGTATGTACATGTACAAAAATGCATACATTTGTGTATTTGTCCCAAACAAACAAAACAAAAAATCCAAAATCATGCGAACCAAAAACACCAAACCACCCAAACAAACAATCTAACAAATTTAACACCAACACTCTTAACAAACATCATTACTAACAACAAACACTGTGGTCAAAATGCTCCTAACATCACCCGATCAAAACTAAAAATTCGAAAATCAATAAATTGAAATGGGCCACAGGCAGCAGAGGCTGCATTTTGCCTACATCGCATGTTTAGCATAAGATTTGCCAAGAGGCTAATGCAGCATCCGGATATAATGGAGCATCGGCGTTACAAGGATTCCAATGATAATCTGACCGACACTAGGAAGCATCTGAAGCAGAAGGGTGGAAGTTCATTTACAGTCTCATCCAGTGATGAAGAGGACAGTGGCGAAAATGATGATGACAATACAGGAGGCCTTCTTTAAGCAAAACTTATTTTCTTACACTAGACAACAATTTTTTTCAAAAAAATGCTAAATTTACACTTTCCAATAATAAAACTTTAAAATAATTTCTGCTTTCTTAAACGAAATAAAACTGAAAATCTTAGTGGCAAAACAAAAATTTACTAAAACCACACTGCATGCGTTTCATTTTTTTGGCGGATTTGAAATTAATTATTTTCTTGTTTTTTTTTTCTAACTGAACTCATCTTCATCTCCTAGCTCCTAGCTAACTGTTAGAGTAATTGTCTTGTTTTTTCTACCAAAAATAAAATTATTAATAAAATGTTTTCCCCATTTTTAACTTCGTGAATTAACCCCTTGGCCAGGCCGATCAAATTTGCTATTCGGTCTTGTGTGTCTTCTCCTATGTGGCGGCTGGACAAGATCAAAACCAAAAGAAGAATCCGGTTGTTATAACACCCCAGATACAGGATATTCATGCCCAGCAAAAACAGCAACAACAACATCAGCAGCAACATCAACAACATATATCATCTACAACTACGACATCTGGTGGCCATGGTTCCACTGCCACACTGACAAGTTCCAATAAAACAGCACATTTGCCTTCACAGCAACAGAACAGCAATCGACAACAGACCATAACCATACGTCACACGCAACCCATGCAGAAACCAAGCATTACAACATCCACGGTTCAGCCTCAGTCACGTTTGGTTCATACCAATGCCAAGACTCATACCACAGCTACAACCACAATTTCTGCGACAAGTGGCAAGGGTACCATACAACAGCAGCAGCAGCAGCCACAACACTACCAACAACAACAACACTCACAGCAGTCACAACACTACCAACAACAACAACACCCAATCTCCACAACTACATCGCACAAACAATTACAAAAATCCACATCGGAAAAAGTTTCCTCCCAACCCAAGGCCCATCCTCCGCTTGGGGCCCGCAAAAGCAGCAGTGTTTCAGCCACCACCGGGCCATTACCTCAACTACCACCTCGCATACCATCACAGACTTCAACGGAAAGTGTGGTGGCCACCTCGCCCACCCCCTCTACTGGCTCATCGGGACGAAGCTCACGTGGTCCACCACCAGGACCACCGCCTGCCATACCACCACGGACCGGTGCCATAGCACGCAGTGGCTCGGTACAACACTCCACCATGACCGCCCAGGGTGTGCGTCCTTTTGTACGGCAAATTTCCACCAACTCCACACCACCCCAATACACGCCCCAACCACCTCCGGCCTTTGTCATACCCAAGAGGCACACCACCATGCAGCGGGCCTCATCCATGGCCACACCAAATCCAACGATTATCAACACTGCCGCTTTGTTTACCACGTGCATGACTGCTGCGACGCACTCATCGGCAGCCAATACCTCTGCAGCACCATCCACAACCAGCACCACACCCTCACCCTCCTCGCTTCCCTCACCCCATAACTTGCAGAAACGTCCCTCGTATGGCAGTGTCAGTTTGGGCTCCTCCCTTTCCACATCGCCCAGCTCCAACAACGGTGGTAGCAGCTCCACTTCACCCCAGGCCCACCGCAAACACTGACGAAGGAGTTCCTTTTTCAAAATTGTTGGCATAGGTGGCGGGAAGGACAGTTGGAAAGATAGCGGGAAGGAAAGTGGCAGCAAGGACAGCAGTCACAAGGATTCGAGCCATCCAGCCGCCAGTGGTATAGGTGGGGGCGGTGGTGGTCGTTCCGGTGATGAGCCGCATTCTCGAGAAGCTTGTCGTTCCATGTGCCTACCTTGGCTCTAGATGTAGTAAAACTAGTAGAAATATTCAAACTCAAGAAACCTAAAAATCTTTGAAAAAATACAAACTTATAAACCTACAAATCTAAGCGAAAAACATAACTACAGTTCAAAATGGTAATAAGGGTATTCACGAAGGGAGGATTGTAATTAAGCAATTGTTGAGGGGTGCTAAAATGTTACAGAACTTAATTTTTGAATATTAAAAAATTAACTATGTTTGTTCCTTAAAAAAAAGGACTGTATAAACAAACTGATATGAAGTATATGTACCATTACGTTGGGCGCCACTTACTCCGAACGTAGAAATAACGTTGCTGTTCCATAACATGTATTTCACTCTCCCTATTCGAAATGATCGTGTCTACTGACTACGGTTGCGATGATATTGTCAAACAACAAATGTTGGGTGGCACTTAATACAATTGTGTGTAAATTCGATTCTTATTAAATTGTCCCTTCTCTCTGCTTCCTCCTTTTGGCAAGGCCTTTCAACCTTTAAAAGTCCACATTGGGCGACACTTACTACGTGAACATTTTGCGCTGTAGATCCGATTTTTATTGCCGAGAAAAAAAATCAAATAAATCTCCTTTAATTAGACGATTTTATCTTGAAAAGAACTAACTGATATGAAGTATATGTAGCACATCATTGGGCGCCACTTATTATAAACGTGATTTGTTTCATAGCAATTGAATATGATTTTTGTTAAGAACAATTTTTTAATCAATTTTCCTTTAATCAGCTGATGTTATCTTAAAAAGGACAAATTTGTGGGATGTATATGTACTATCACCTTGGGTGCCACGTACCACAAACCTGAAGAATATTGCATATATCAATTGATATTTATTATTTTCTTCCTCCCATCATTATAACTCTCTTTGTTTTGGCCCGGACCTCCACATTGGGCGCCACTTACCACAAACGTGAAAATATTGCGTGACCCCAAATGATTGCAATTCTGCTTTTATTGTCAAAGAACAAATTTCCAATAAATTATCCATTAATTAAGTCATGTTATCTTATAGAGATCAGTCTTATTCTCATTCTCTTTTCATCCCTCTCTCTCCCCTTTTTTCGACATTGAAGCTTTTAAATCCCACGTTAGGCACCACTTAGTACAAACTTTAAATTGTCCCATAAAACGATTTTATAGCCAAAGCACCAATAAATCTTCCATATAACAAGTGAAGTTATTTTATTTCAAGTATATGTAGCACCAAGTTGGGGGCCACTTAGTAAAATTATCGTATTTTATCAAATAACTGTAATTCTGCATTTATCGTGCTTGAAGAATGGGTAATGAAAAAAATTTGTAATAAAGAAAAACATGACAAACAACGTAAAAAGTACAGCAAATCAAAGTTATCCTTACAGGGAGACTATTCAAAAAGTGGACCGATATGATCCATTTTCTGTACCAATGATTCTGGTTATAATTCCAACATCTCTATGAAATTTCAAAGCTCTATCCAACATATTGGGCCTTTATAACATTTGGCCTATGAACTGAAAACTCCTTTGAGGTTTTAATCTAAAAATGAGTGCTGTAAGACTGGAAGAAAGTGGTACATTTTAAAAATTAAATAAGGTATTTTATTAGCAAAAATATTGGGAAGTACTGTTATATGGGGGCTAAACAAAAGCGTGGACCTATACATACAATGTTTCGACACAGGAACTAAGACCCATTATGACCTTAAAATACCAATTTTTAGACAAATCCGTGAAAAAATTTGGAAAAAACATTAAAATATGGAATATCGGGAGGTACCGTTATATGGGGGCTATACCAAAGCGTTAACCTATACATACAATGTTTCGCCACACGAACTAGGACCCATTATGACCTACAAATATCAATTTTCAGACAAATCCATGAAAAAATGTGGCAAAAATCATCAAAATTCCGAATACCGGGATGTACCGTTATATGGGGACTATACCAAAACGTGGACCGATATATCTCATTTTCGATACCAACCATCGTAGATACAATATAAATTTTTCTGCTAAATTTTGACCCTCTACGTCAAATAACAGACAGACAGACGGAAAGACATACAGAGGGACATCTTTTCTACCAAAATATTCTTCATATTTTTGTCTACAATAAATACACAAAATAATCCGAAAATTTTAAAAACTGTGGAAGAGCAGAAAATTCTGCCCTCTATTTACATTAGTTTGCGATGTAAACTTTCACTGAAACGTCTATACACATGTCTCCTTGTTTGAGCTCTATGAAAAGTGTAAGAAATGACAACTTCAGTTAATGGAAGATTTTCGAGTAGCCACCATATAAATTAACAATTCTCAAATAATTGTTCTTTTCCCACCTTTCCTAAAAACTGGTATTAAAACTTTACACAAAATAGCACCCTTAACAATTGGTTAATAATATATTCTCCCCTACGCAAAACTAAAGTATTCATATCTAACTAAAATGAAATGCTTTAACTCTATGAACAAAACATGCTTGTATACAAAATAAATAAAATTAGTTAGTATTATTATCTTTTATTATTATTATTATTATTATTATTATTATTATTATTATTATTATTATTATTATTATTATTATTATTATTATTATTATTATTATTACTATTTTAATTATTTTAATAATTATTATTTTTTTATTATTTTAATTATTATTATTATTGTTATTATTATTATTATTATTATTATTATTATTATTATTATTATTATTATTATTATTATTATTATTATTATTATTATTATTATTATTATTATTTTAATTATTTTAATTATTTTAATTATTATTATTTTTATTATTTTAATTATTATTATTGTTATTATTATTATTATTATTATTATTATTATTATTATTATTATTATTATTATTATTATTATTATTATTACTATTATTATTATCATTTAAATTATTATTATTATTATTTTTTTTATTATTTTAATTATTATTATTATTATTATTATTATTATTATTATTATTATTATTATTATTATTATTATTATTATTATTATTATTATTATTATTATTATTATTATTTTTATTATTATTATTATTATTATTATTATTATTATTATTATTATTATTATTATTATTATTATTATTATTATTATTATTATTTTCTTCCATTTTTATCAACATTATTATTTTTTATTATTATTACCATAATTTTTATGTTTTCAATTACTATTGTGTTTTTAATATTTTATTTTATTTTTTTCAATATTTATTATTATTTCTATCATTATACAAAATAAAAAAACAGCTGACGCTGGTATATTTTTATTGAGAACAAAAATTAATTTTTTTATATACATTTCCGTTTACACAAAGAGTTTCCAACTTAAAAAAAATGTTACATTTTATTGTTATTAGTTCATCAGATACTTATTTACCATATAGATAGCTAAAATTTTTAAACGAATTTCTGTTGTTAAATGCCTTTTTTATTTTAATTCTTAAAATAGCCATTGTTCCATTTTTCAACTTCTTCACAATAAAGATAAAAAAACAACAGAGTTTCCCAATAACTGAGAATAATTACGACTACTAAATATTGACTACACAATAATTACATTAAAAAAATAATAATAACAACACTAAAACTTGTCCTTGAAAAGCTTTAACAATAAAAATAAATAAATTCAAATAACTATTAAAATATGAAACAAAAACAAATTAAACTAAAATTAAATTAAAAAAAAAAACAAATAAACTATAACTAACTACAAAAAGTATGTAAATCGATGTATGAATGTTGTATAAATGTTTTTTTCGGTGTAATAATGAAACAATTCCTATTTAAAGAAAAAAATAAAAAAAAACAGAAACTAAGAAAAGTGAAATAAATATTTGCAATAATTATACACACAAAGGATACATACATAAATTAATATACATACATGCATATTGACATAATCAGTAATTTGTGGACACAAAATAAAAACTAAAACAAAAAATTAATAAATGGTAATTGAAGGCAATCTAGGTAGGGAATGTTTGTATTAAAACCAAAACAAAAAAAAAAGAACAAAAGAAAAAAACAAGATCATAGAATTATGAAACTAAAAATAATAAAAATAAAATATAATTAACTATGAAAAATATTTCATGTAATAAAACAAAAAAATACCATGAAACAAATAAAATGTTCTGGCAATTGGTAACTGCGCAAAAAGAAACACTAGAAACCCCGTTGTTTTATTTTTATGATTTTAAAATTTGAAAATGGTAAATATAACTAAAACCAAATAATAAAGGGAAAAATAGGTAAAGGCTGACTGTGTGATACACTTCGCTGATCATGAAATCAAGCGACCCTACACCACAAGGTGGTCAGGGTATTATGTCTTTGTGCATTTGTTTGTAACAGGCAACAGGAAACGAGATAGACCCATAGTTCCTTTTGATGATCTGCATAGAATCACATTCTAAGTCGATTTATGCATGTTTGTCGCTCCGTCTGTCAGTCCGTCTGTCCATGTACTTTTGTTAAGAAAGTACAGTTCGCACTTATTACCCGATCCAGATGAAATTTTGCACACACCATTTGTTTGGCCCAAGGACGAACCCTATTGAAATTGTAGATAATCGGACAAAATTTAGATATAGCTCCCATATATATCTTCGTCCGATTTGCCTTTTATTGTGCACCAAACGTGTAATATGGAATTTTGCACGTACGATCAGATTGCACCTGAAAATAAATTTGCTAAATTTTATCGAGATCGGTTCGGATTTGGATTTAGCTCCCATATATAACTTCGTCCGATTTACCTTTGATTGTGCACCAAACGTCTAATATTTGCCCAAATTTAGAACTTACGACCGAATAGAGTCTAGAAGCTAGTATGACAAATTTGGTGACATACTATTCATCCGATTTGTCATATTTGTTACCCACAGCCGTAATATTAACTCCGTAACAACGATATTCAGGGAAATATATCAAATACAGCTCAGAGATATCTTTGCCAAATTTTATTGAGATCGGTTACAATTTGGATATAGCTCCCATATATATCTTTATTCGATTTCAAATTAATTGTGCACCAAATGGGCAATACAAGTCCGAATTTAAAAGATACAAATGCTTCGGCATATTTAGTCCTTTGAACTTTAAATTATAATCATAGCGTGTATGTTGTATGATTGAATTCATATCATAATCATAAAGTCGGCCCCGCCCGACTTTAAGGCTTTCTTTACTGTTTTTTTTTTACATTTTACATAGGAAAATTATTCTTTGACTAATGAGCCCATCCCTAAAATGGGTTCAAAATGACTTTCGGTGCACGTCTTTGCAATGCAGTACAACTTTGAAGAAAACTAGGGAATATTCCGCAATTGAAGATGCTTTCGATTATTAAAATGTTTATTCTTTATGAAAGAGGTTCCAAAAGAAGTGGACCAACATAACTTCATCTGAAAATGTTGACCTTTCGGCGAGAGGCACAAGGAATTGAAGGACAATATTTTCTATGTTGCCTCCAGATATAAGTCTAATAGAAATATTAACACAATTAGGTCTTTATGGGGGTTCCGATTGGTTTTATGTTAGAAACATGAATGATTTTTTTAATTGTTATGGAATAGATGTGTGAGCCAAGATTGCAAAATTTATAAACTACTGTGGAGGAGGTGCCAGAAAGAGGGGATTCATATATTTAAGTTTTTATAAGAACTGTTATAAAGGCTCAGTTTGAGCAATATCGGAAACTTATTTCACACTTTTTGGCATATTTTGACCCTATGTAGGGGAGGTACCAGAAAGAGTAGGCCAATATATTCAATATTCACTTCTGTAATTGAAAAAAATTCAAGAACTATACAAAATCATAAATTCTGATTAGTTTCATGTTCATAGCAGATTTCTGGCTAAGGGAAATATTTAGATATAGCAAGTTGTATATGATCGCAGTGTATTGTTATGTTTTTTCGCGTTGTATGAGCGTTTTGCTTTTCAAAAGTTTGGACCCTTTTGTGGGGGAAGTACCAGAAAAAATATGCCGATACATATCAATTTCCACAGCAGATTTTGTGTTAGTAAAAATACTGGCATGTATGGAAGTTGAAGAGAACCCGATGCCTATTTCGGATTTTATGATCAAAGTTTTGAACCTCTGTGGGGCAGGTACCAGAAAAAATGGTCCGACCTCTCCCGTCTTTATAAGAGATCTTGAGATCATCTTGAGTTTTCACAATTGACTTCTTCTGTTGAATGTAAATTTCAACTATTTCAGAGCGCTCGCGTGGCGTGTATTGGTTCATGGTAAAAATCTGCTTAGACAGACGCTTCAAAGGCGGCATGTCATTAAGCGATGTGACATCTCTATCAAAAGTTATGGCGTTGCCAGATGGGTCCGTCGAATATGGGCAACCCTGTATATATATTCGCGATCACGATAAAATTCCAAGTCGATTTAATTATGTTCGTCTGTGTGTTGATATGAAGATAACAGCCCATATAATTTGATTTTGATATGATTTTGATATGATTTCGGCATAAGTTCTAGGATGCTCGGTATCTCATGATGTTTGAAATTGAGACTATCTATCCATAGGTGAGCAAGAAGGAGTTCCAGCGCAAGCGGCCAATTTTTCTTAGTTTTTGTTAAACAACTAACCGGTCCATGTCTATGCAGCATTCGTTGAAATATTTCAAAATAAGCTTCAATAACAATTTTAAACATCATTCGTTAAAAATTAAATTTCTCCTTTCTCTAAAATTATTTCTTTATATGATTTCGCTCGGGTCTGATTCAAGCTAAATTTTGTAGAAAATTTGGTATTCAGATATCGTAATGGGTACTATCTCCTGTAGCAGATCTTTATAGGCTCACGCTTTCCCACAGCACTCATACGACCGTACGTACCACTAGTCATTCGGTGTTCGATGAAATTAGTCACATTTTTTACGAAATTGTTTGAAATTGGGTATTTCATGCTCGCAATAGGTAACAACACCTGTTGCTACAAATTGTCTGTATAGCTTCGCATTTTGGTATAGTCTCAACAAAACAGATCTACCCCTTATAGTATTTTGATGACTTTATCTGCATTCTGCCACAAATTCGCAGTTAAAAATAGATTTCATTTGAGTATTAAATATCGATCCTTTTATTTGTAAAGGGTTTCTTTACCTCATTAAAAATTCGGAAAAACCCTTTTTTCATTGTTTCATTTAAGAGGTATTCAATACGTACCAAATATTTATACAATTGGAAATAAAAATTTAAGAGTCTTTAAATTAATTCCAATTTTTAGGAAATATAGGATATGCAAAAAAAAAAAAATAAGACACATATATTCAAAATGCAATTGACTGAAATATACCCACTATTGTTTACAACGTTTTTATACCCTCAGCCATATGGCTAGACAGGGTATATATCATTTGAGACGGCCAAAACGTGTCTCATCGATATAACGGTTTTAGACCCTAGGTCTCTTTGCACCAAATTCGTTTCAGAATATTT